AAAGTCACTCCAATAGTTTAATTACGCTTTCATCCTCCTTTAACAAAATACTTCATATTCATCCAGTTTGTGACAGTAGTTGTAGCATTTTTGAGACTTTAAAACTTTAATTACCGCTGATGCATATTGTCAGAATAAGCATTTTAGAGAGTAAAAGCAAAATAAAAAAGAAGAGAGCATATTTAAATCCTTTTTGAGTTGAAGTACTGCGCCTTATCAGCCACCAGAGGGCGCAGCAGAGCTATGCTACAGCAGTCACTGTTTGTTTTCACATTCGTTACTGCACACTTGGTTAAAGACACACAACCGAGGCCAGATCTTTTGATTTATCACCTTTGAAAAGTGACAAGAGTGAGAATAGAAGTTGGCGGAACAACATAAAAGAAAAAAAGAAAGAAAGTGAGAGAGCAGAGGAGAGACTGACCGATGATGACGGTGTTGTCGTCAGCGATGAGCATCTTGCTGTGGACGTAAATGAGCTCTGTGACGAGGCGTCCCTCCAACTCAGCGTGAGTCCGCAGGCCAGCGAAGGAGATGTAATTCATCCAATGGTCGTCCACTGGAGAGGGGAGGACAGGAGGGAAAAGAGAGGAAATTCAGATAAATTAGAAAAATAATTGCACTTTTCCAACTCTAACTTTAAAGTGGACCTATCATGCAATATTTGAATAATATAGTGTAGGACCATACCTATATAAGGCATATTTATACTTTTCATTTTTCAAAATACCAAACAGATCATGCATTTTAGCCATTCCTCATTTCGCTCAATTTAACACTGTCTTTGCATGGCCTGATTCTGTGAGAACAGCACCATCTACAGGCCTGGCATATGTACTACAGCGTCTCCAGCGCTTTCCAACGGCAATGTCCGTGGCTGTCTCCTCCTGATTGGTGGAGTTGGCCCAATAGCCGTAGCGCCACTTCTGTGACGTCATAGAAGTGTTCAAATCTGGATCAGTCTGTATCAGATCCGTTGCAGCCCCTTTTTAAGAGACTTGGGTATGGAGGAAAATAGAGAGGGTTGTGTTTTCTGACACTTGGTGAGTTCCCTGGAACACCGGGGACACATATTCATGTATAAAAGATGTGCAAAAGTGCATTTTGCATGATAGGTCACCTTTAATATTGGTTTTCTAAACGATTAATTTAAAATGTATTTTTGTACTTACTCTCCTTTTTCAGCTGCGAGATGATGGAGTACTCTCCCCTGATCATGGTTCTGAGGAGGCGGATTGAAACATAATCAGAAAGTATTCAAATATTTCACATCCTAGACTTGAAAGAAATACAACACAATGGGTTTCTAAGGACACTTCCAAATATGCTTTCTCATTTCCCCTTACTCTTCCTCTTTTAATATAAAATTAGTTTTATTTCAGTTCCACCTGTAGTTGAAGTGCATCACAGCCTGGATGGCGTTCCCTCCTCCGGTGGTGATGTCCCCCTCAAAGCCAGGCAGCAGGGGGGTGACCACATACACCCGGTACTTCTTACCCTCCCTGAGAGTAAACACACATCGGTTACATAAACGTGAGAAGCAGAAGTACAACCTAAACAACCAAAAGAAAAAGGGAAGTACTTGTGCGCTCTGAGGATCCTCTCGATGATGGCGTCTCCGATCTTGTTGTAGACCGTCCTGTTGTCGGCACAGCTGATGAAGAACTGGTTCTGATAGGAGAAGGTCAAATATATAAAGAAACAAACCAAAAGAGAGACCCTTAATACAGCTCATAGTTTGTTTCTAAAAGTACAACTTCTTAGATAGACACGAGGAAGCACATTCACAATCATATTTGTAACACTAATTCGAGTTTCGATTCTGCAGTACTACAGTAGTAGTGCAGTGTTGATGTGATATGTTATTTAGATCCAACATTTAAGCTTTCTATCTTGAATATTATTGTCCATTTAGTATTAATGTCATATTGTAAAAACTAAAGTTATTCAATAGTTATGACAATTTTATTTTTACAAACCTGTGATAATGCTGAAAGGTCAATTAACCTAATTAGAGTACATTTTATTACACAGTGACACAGCACGCGGATGAATTGAGCTCATTACGACTTCAAATCATATTTTGTGTTTTCCTATCCTGGCCTCAGTGCTGGTTTACCTCGATGTAGATGTAGTGTTTGCTCTTAGCGATGACCTGGACGTAGGCACTGTGGATGGACTCCTCGTGGTACTTGATACCTGCCGACCAATCTGCTGCGGACCGCAACACCTAACACACAGAAACAGACATATTAAAGCAGCAATTCTACACATTTCTATATTCGTGAATGGTCATCTCCGATATAGTATGGATAAATGTGTCTTTAAGCAATCAAATTGTATAGCTATATATTATTATATCATAAAGTGTCAGTATAAGGTTATAACAAACATTTGTTTAATATTTTCTCCTCTTTAAACTCTACTCATGGCAAACATATTAAAAGTGAAAAATATGTCCTGTAAGGAAATTCACTTTACAACAAATATAATAATTAAAACAAATATATATGACAAAATTATTAAGAGGTATTTATAAAATTGGTGTGTGTTATCACTGGCTATAGTAAATACAAATGGAAAAGTTGTAATATGAGAAGGTGTCACACAGTTTGAATGAAACACACAAACATTTATAAAACGACGCAAAAGAACATTTTCTGATAAACCCAAACATGATGGAGTTGAAATGGGCTCTTGTGCGCTTCTTATTTTAGACAAGCGTTTCACTCAAAGGTCGGTTCCTTTCGGCTAAAAACCTCTGGGTATCACATGAGCAAACCTTTGTAGTTATATAACTTTTTGGCCCATGGAGAGCTTTTTAACGCTCACTCACTTTTATCGTTCTCCAGCAGAGCTTGCAGGCCGGTTTGAGGAAAGAACTGATGGAAAGTTGGAGTTTAAACTCTTCTTGTTTTTCTCTGTAATTGTCTAGCAGTGGTTGGCTCAAAGTTTGGGTGGGTTTTGCTTCACCTTATCATTTTGTATAATTATAAAGAAGGGAAAAAACCCACTTTCCACAACATGTGTTTTATGAGTGCAGTTAAAGGTAAAAATGGCGCTTGGTGTGTTCAGTTCTCCTACCTGCGCTTTGACGTTGACGCAGCCAGGGACTTGGTATCGGAGGTCGTTGGCGGTGGAGTGAGACTTGGGCAGCAGGAATGGATAAGACAGAGAGCGATACTTTGGCTTCATGATCTGTAGGGAAGACGGTTGGAGAACATGGGCAGAGGAAGGGTTAAGAGGAGGAATGGAAACGAGTAAACAGAGGAGAACAGGAGGGAAAACATGAAGCAATGGAAAGGCAGAAGTGTGAGAGTGAGGATTAAAGTGTTTCTTCCACTCACCCAGCCAGACAGTTTGCTAAGCTTTCACCAGGTCAGTGTATATGTGTTTTGAGTCATCCAAACATGATTTCCCCCAGTTAAATATATTAGTTGGCTCCGAAATGCTATGTTTATGGCTATCAATTAGCATTAGAAATACTCAAATCAAGCATTCAAGGTAAAAGGCTAGCAGTCCTTCAAGGTGATTTAAAAAGAATCAAAGAAACTCCAGTGTGTGTGTGTGTGTGTGTGTGTGTGTGTGTGTGTGTGTGTGTGTGTGTGTGTGTGTGTGTGTGTGTGTGTGTGTGTGTGAGAGTTTCGGTACCTTTGTGAAGTTCCAGCGCTGAATAAAGTGCCTGGCCACATCCCGCGCGGCTCTGCCGTGAACCACCGAGGCGATGTCATGCCAGGGCATTCTGGGAGTGGTGTACCTGTCGATGAAGTCTGCAGAGAGCGAAGACAGAAACACGTGTGTGAGATGGATAAAGGACGTACAAAGATACCGTGTAGTAGAATAAAAGGGAGGGATACATGGGAGAAAAATGCTCAGAAAGAAATAACAGTGTTTTACGGTGGTCAGTTCTCCTAATGACTATGTGTTTGCATTGCATTTCCACCAGACTCAGGCACAGGCCATAAGACTGTTAAACAGCTGAACTAAGAACATCCATAACATTCACCTGTTTGTAATTTACTTGTATGTAGACTCTTATGGCACTACTTCTATTCTATTTTATTGTATTAACTTGCACAATTTTATTTGTTTTATTGTGTTGCACTGTTGGAGGAGCCTGTGACCTAAGATTTTCATCGACATAACTAAACTGTAGCTATGTACGAATGATAATAAAAGCCTTGAATCTAAAGGTCAAACAGGAAAAATAATAAGACTAAGATTAAAATGAAGGTGGGCATTGTGAACGAAAAAGGAGTTTTAGATTTAGCAATTATGTAAAGCAGTGTTTCTCAAACTTTTTCATACCAAGGACCACTTAACCAATAAAAAAACACTCGCGGACCACTTGACTCCACAAATATCCAAAAACACATCGTTTTTTACAAATCGCCTGAAAATGGTACAAAGAAGTGGCAACATGTGTGATGAAGGTGTTTATCTGGGCTATATCATGCAATCAAAAGTTAAACTTAAGCTCGCTCCATTGCGGAGAGATTCCCGCGAGAGTGCGGAAAACTTAAATGTATTTATTTTAGGGCCGGGACGCGATTAAAAAAATTAATCTAATTAATTACAGGCTTTGTAATTAATTAATCGCAATTAATCGCATTTTTAATCGCATATAAATATTTGACCTGAGAACAGTGAGAAGCAATTTTTTTCACATGGATTTTAGTATACCATTGAATAATGACTG